AAAACAGCTTAGAATCTATGATGGAATCTCGGATTGGGGTTTGAAGTCTACAAAAGCCATGTTCGAACAAGTCCTCCCTCACAATGGTTAGAGTTTGGTGTTCATGGCTGATGTTCAGCACCTGATATTCTACACCAGCGATTTCAATGGTGGTGGTATCGTCGTCACAGAGAAGCTTCAAAGCAGGATGTCCGCACGGTGGTTGTCGATTACCTCCGAAGAAAGGATATCCGATGGAGATGTTCCCACATTCGAACACTGCATCATGGCAGTTAGTGTAAATTTCTAGATTGCTGTGTGAAACAGGAAACCCAGACACGAGAAACAATAGGGAAAACATAAGAGTAGGCAGAGACGATGAGAAAGAAAGATAAGTCATTTTGTTTGTCAGAGCAGAGATGGAAGAAAGGTATGGTTGCCTCTGCTTTGCTAAGCTCAGCTCTTATGAAATTTGAAGGAAAGTGAAAGTGATAAAAGAAGAAAGAGAATTTGGAATAGAGAGCAGTTGACTTGTAAAGACTTTGAGCCTCCATCATTTTTATGGTATATTTTTTTCCAAAGTCTCGGCCGTGTCGTGTGGAGTGAATCACAGTTGATATTATATATTTATTTTTTAATAAGTTAGAAAATATTTATATATATATTTTAAAAAATTTAAATTTATAAAATTTATATAATTTTTTTACAAAATTAAAAATATAAAAAGATTTAATAAAAGGGTAAAATTTTATTTTAACCCTTAAAATTTATATAAAACTTTAATTATAATTTTTTTTTGTAAATCTAAAATAGTTTAAACATAAATTTCTGAGGAGTGACGACCTCGATCGCCGCAAAAATCGCATTCTTCCCGCCAAATCCGCCGTCTTACAGAGTGGTGGAGGACGAGTCAAGCGGTGGTCAGCTTTAAATACCGGAGGTGCCGAGGAGGGGCGATGTCGACGTCTTGAAGCTATGCACGCGCCGTGGAAATGACATTGTCGCCGTCCATATAAAACACCCGAAAGCTTCCGCTACTCTCTTGTATTCTCACGAAAATGCTGCTGATTTGGGACAAATGTATGAGCTTTTCGTTGGGTTGTTTAATCGCCAGAGCGTTAATCTTATGGGGTATTTTTTTTTCTCTTTCCTGCTTTTCAGCATATTGAACATGCTATTTTACATTGGATTCTTAGGCTTTTACTGTTTTGATTGTATTGAAGTTGTTTTAGCGTAGTGAAAGTAGTTCCTTGGAGTTTGGCATGATTTGCTTGCGATTTTGAGGTTTTAGGGTTCTGAAAGTGTTGGCTAATATTGGTGAAGTGGAACTTGCTTAGGTTCAGATGTCTGATTGAGGCTGAAGCTAGTTTCATAGTAAATTTTCAAGGAAGAAGACTCTTGTTATGAGAAAGTGAAAGTTATGCTGATTTTGGTATGTTGTAAGATTAAGCTAACGGTTTTACTTTACTGGGCATCATCTGTACATACTGGAGAGAGAATGTAAAAATTTTAGGAGACAGAGTTACGGTGAACGTGATGTTGAGTTAAATTTACTTGGGGCTTTTCAGTTATTTGTTGCCCGTTCTTTCTACAGCCTAATTAGTATTCGGAATTTTGCAATATCATTTGGGCATGGATACTAACAATTCTTGATTAAAATGCTTTGGGATTTGTTCTTTCTTTCTGTTTACTGATCATGGACTTAAGCTAACGTAAAAGAAGGTGGATTATGACACGGTCAAATTAGTTTGAGGAGCTCTATGTGATAGATTATATATTTTGCAAATAGTGCTTTGATGCTTTTATTACCCTAGGACATTGGCATGCAGGAAAAATGTTAAAGAAAAGAAAATGAAGACTCATGATTAGAATTTTCAGCAAGTGTGTAGATCATTTATTGGATGTTCTGTTACGATAGGGCATAGGTCACACCATCATAATAGTCTTTTGTTCCTATAGAGGAACTATGACCAGCTGGAGATGTTTCTCAAGTTTTGTATATTCTAGCTTTTCCTTTATAATTCAGAATAATATTAGGGAAACTTAAATTACCATGTTCCTTTATAGATTGAACAGTGCGATCTTGACTTCTTTTGACTGTGATGTTTAGTAAAATTCCTTCTTTATTGACCCATTCCCTTGTTTATGAATATCCTGCTTTTGTTCCTTTCCTCTATGCCGTTAAACACATTCAGAACTATTATGCTATGTTGATATTTTCATTGTTGCTTATCTATGTTCACTTTGAAAATTTAGATATTAACTTGGACTGCAGTATGAGTTTGAGCATAGTTGTCGTCATACCAGCATACTAAAGGTAAATGGAGGTAGGTTTGAATGTGTTAGGTATGTATGTATCTAAGTCCATATTGTAGGATCCAATACATTGTGCAGTTGATTGGTCAGAGTGCAACTACATGTTTTGGCCGACAGCAAAGTGTTAGCTGCTAAATGATGACTGAATTATTAATTGTGTCATGAAATGTACAATGAATGCAAGGAATAATGTTTATAAGCGTTTCTCACTGATTTAATAATCAACCACTTCTGTGTGGAAGTTCTTTTAGGTACTGTTTCCATTTCTATAAAATGGTTTGTAAGAAGTTTATCTGTGCTAGTTTAGTTCATTTGGGCTGTTGTTGCTGTAGTTCTAAATTGGAGCTTTTGTATGTCGCCTTTTGGTATCAATTTATTGACAGTCTCGGTTCTGCTTGTGACATATTCTGATATGCATTTTCTTATCAAATTTGGCAGCTTCATTTGGAAATGGTTGCCTCCTGTCCTTCTGTTTTCTTGCACTATTGCATTTGTTTGTTGTCAAACTGCTGACTTTTCATTCTATATGCAAGCAGTGTGTGTTGTAATTGCACGATGTGATTCAGTTTCCTTTTTGATAAGCGTTGATACTTCACAAACTAAACCTTAATGAAGGTTCTGAAGATAAGCATATTATTAGCTAACACCAACAAATGATATGCAATATTTATAAGAGAGGACTAGGGTCAACCTTAGAATTACCTATGAACCTGAAATAAAATCAACAAATTGTCTTCCATGAACACTTTGTAGGAGAATGTGGACTACAGACTCTTCAATTCTTGTATAGCTCCTTCCAACAAATTCTCCTTTTCCTAAGCATTTTAAAATTTGCGGTAAAAGTTAACCAAGATTTTAAATAAAATTACTTGGGAAATCTTATCCTATAATATCTTTTTGACATTGTTTCTAGAGACGCATGAAATGATTGTGCAGGTAGAATTCCAGAAAGTAGTACATTTTATCGTTTCCTTGTGCTTGACAGATTTATTTTTAGTCTTTCCTTTTTTTATATTAATTTGTTTTACTATTCTAATATACCCTTTATTTTAGGTATGATTACTCTGGCTATGGACAATCAACTGGAAAGGTTGTTTATTTGGATTATCTTTCTTGCTGCTAATTTTGAGAACAAAAGTTGCCCTTATCCATGTTTGCTGTAGCAATTTAACCATTGCAACGAACGTTTATATAATTACACAGTAATTTTTTTGACAAAAAGCTTCCTCCTTTTCTGTTAAAGTGGCATAGTGTTCATTTTAATGCAAGATTCGAGTTCTTATGATGCTCTGAGTTATACCTGTTGGGCAGCTTCTTTTATATTCTACTAGATTTTGTCCCCGGCTATGCCCTTACATTTAAAATTTTCTTATATTATATGATTTTATTTAAATATTTATATTTTATATAAATAAGTTAAGAATTAAATTTCTATAATTATGATAAATTCTGTAAGATATGAGATAAATTAAGATACCCAATATCATATGAGAAATTAAAACATGGTACAACATAAATATAATGAATTTACCTTGTTCACTGTGTATCGAGACCTATGATATTTATGTTGCGCCATGTTCACTGTGTATCGAGACCTATGAAATTTCTGTGCAGCCATGCCGTTTCTGATTTCTTGTACTTAATAAAGGAACATTTGAGTGCTTGCTACAAACCTATTATCTAAAAACTTTCTTTTATTTGAAACAGCCAACTGAGTGTAATACATATGCAGATATAGATGCAGCTTACAAGTGCCTTAAGAAAGAGTATGGAGTTAAAGATGAACAATTAATATTGTATGGTCTGTCTGTTGGTAGTGGACCTACAGTTGATCTTGCTTCTCGTTTGCCAAACTCGAGAGGCGTTGTCCTACATAGCCCAATTTTGTCTGGCATGAGAGTATTGTACCCTGTCAAAAGGACATACTGGTTTGACATTTTTAAGGTAAGTATTACACCGCATTTCTAGTTTCTTGTTTTGTCTTGCAGGTAGTGATCTTCATTTCTGGGGTTCCTTTTTTTTTCATTCTAATTTTCAGAATATTGACAAAATTGGAGCAGTGAACTGTCAGGTTTTGGTTATTCCAGAAGTTTCTAGAAACTGCTTAGATAGTCGACTTGAGAAGTCTAAGAAGTCGAATAAGCCTGAGAAGTCTCGAATGAGCACGGACCATGTCGATAGGTTTAGACGAAACAAGGGCTTAGTTTGGTGATTTCTTACACAAAGAACATCTTAAATTGAAGTATGCAGATCTATCTAGTTTGAGGTAATTCTACTCTTATTTTTACCCTTAAGCTTTTGTAATGTTTTCAGAACGAGTGTGATGATTCTCATAAAATGCTATAATTTTTCTGTATGTATCTTCAGATCAAATAAGTTCCAACTTAGGCTAAAAAGAATCTTTCATTAGAAATCCATCTGTAAAATCAGTTCCAATGTTAAATGAAAATCTACTGATTTTGAGCTAATAATTTACAAAGATCTTTGCAGTCCATGTATTATGTCGTGTTTTGCTTTTAGTGTTAGTCGTGTATGCTCAATTATTAAATGCATCAAACTTCTAACAAGGTTATCGTTTCTGTTGGATAGTAAGAATAATAAAAAAAGTTATAGTATCAGACACAGCCCACGAATAAATTGACCACAAAAGTATCAGACATTGATACTTGAAAAAGAAAAGGTAAGAATAAAATAGTTTGTACTGGTACAAAGTTTGTAGCGAAGGATGGTTTAAAACCTACGACCAAAATAACATACACCCTTGTGCCAATAAGCCTAAGAGGCAACTAACATGCTGACCTAACCAACAAACTAAAAGAAATTTCAAGACAAACCAAGATGCCAAGACAAGCAGACACAGCTATGTCACCTTCTTGCCTTCATCGTCAACGGGGTCACGTAGGGTTCCAAGCATCCAATCCATCCATATGGTGTAATGGCCATAATTATGGCGATACGTAGTGTGGTGAATGGTGTGGTAGCCAGCACCCATGATAGGCCAGAGGTTTCCGTGGATGCAATCATGAATGTTCGTTGTCCAGATGCCCTCGAGGAATAAGAGTCCAATGTGGGTTCTAAAATGAGTTGGTATAATGAACAGTGCTATGACATGAGGGACTGCCTGCAGTATTCCATCCAGAGGGTGAAAAGCCAAACCTGAACATAGGACATTGAGCAGTGTTTCGTTTAGTATGGTAAAAAAAATCCATAGTGTTACTCAGACTCAAGTATTACAGGTATGTGTCCAGTATGGGCATGGTCAAATTTCAAGGCATTTTATGTATTGGATTATATCCCCATACTGTGTTTAAGACAAATCATTTAAGAAAAAGGAAGAGTTCAAATAGCATAGTTTTCAACCGAAATCGATATATCGAGATAGTACATCTGTTTAGCCAAAGCATATCTTCTATTTTTCAACACACAGAGATCTATTTGGGAAAAAAATAGTTAGTCTGTCAAACTAAATAACTTTTTTTTTTTGATAGAATAAGGCCTCATTAAAACCCCCCTTCTTATCCTACATGTTACAAACATAACATGAAGGACATTGGAAGGAGGGAAAGAGTGCCTCTAACTTTTATTAATAAGAACAATAATACACCTCCACACCTCAACAGCAACAACTTCTTACAAAACAGAACAACCATAATTCTGAAAGCATAGTCAAACTAAATAACTTCAATGGAAAAAAAACTAGCTAGCCATCAATGCAACTAATAAAAAAGGGAAATACCAAGAAAGATGCTCTGAAATTAGGGATCGGAAATGGAGTGAAGGAACACGGCAATTGCCTTATCCAATGTTACTAGGACTCGAGAATGAATACCGGATATATGTATTTGTCTAACACGAATATATCTAATTTTTTACAAGTTTTTTCATGTATTTGAAGGATCCTTAGGCATTATCTACCTCTAGCTTGCTCTTGTATAAATAGATGCTCAAAACCCTCACCTCCATGGAAGTATATTACATACACAACCACTCTGCTACTAATTTATTCATGAATATGACCTTATTCAGAGTGTATATATATGGGAATTATTAACATATATAACTAAAATTATAGATACTAAAGATAGGAAAATATAAATTTTTTATCACACTTCTACTTGTAGAAGTTAAAATCACTTGTAATTAGAAGATTTGTACTGTTACTGCTAATTCAGATAGTATTCAACAAATAGTGCCATTGTTTGGTTCTCAGAGGATGAGATCCCCCCACCAAAAATAAATAAAATACAACTGCCTAAAAAACTGGCTGGTTCTCAGAAACTCAAGCTTACTAGTATAGTCACATATATACACCAAAAGGTCTTAATTTGACATATAAAACAATATAAGATCCAACATGTTGCCAAAGTAGGATTTAAAAAAAAGCACTATTTCAATATGGTCCTAACCTATGGGCGGTGAAAGCAGTTATATAAAAAATTGAAACTAGAATGCATAGATAAGAACTTACCAGCAAATGGTGAAAGGGTATTCTGCTTGTTGTAGATGTGATGAGTTGCATGAAGATACTTGTATAGAGGTTTTATGTCATGCAACTGTCTATGCATCCAGTAAATGCCAAACTCGACAAAAGCAAGATATATAAATAAATATACCACATACATAAGCCAACCGATATCGCTTATTCTGGCATAACATTTTGTCCATCCAATTTCAACCATGTATTCGGAAAGAGTTGGAAGAGCACAGTACCATGGCATGGCCTTCATAGCAACATAAATTTGCAAGAGCATGGCTTTATTTGTAGGTATAGCATCTGCATTACAAGCACTCAAAAAATTAGCAACGGAGCCAGGAATTTCATGTTTGAAAAACTAAAACAAAGAAAAAATACAGTTGACATTTATGAGTAGGTTTAGCATAGTTCAGTACCTAATGGCTTTCAAGATTGTGTTAACTATTGCAGATAAGAAGAGATTATTATTTTGTTGAACAAAAATGAAGCACTGGAGACTGCTTTGCAGATATCTTGCATATGCTAGTTAAAGGTCAGCATTCATCAAAATCTCATAACCATAGTTTACAGGGAAAGATTCAAATTAAGAAAATTATATGTGTGCCTCAACACTATCAGTCAACTTCTTTTAGATTATCACAAACTATGTAATCAGATTCTTCATTTTCTGTAAAATACTTATGTCCAGCTCTTGCGTTCCTCAAAATACATGGAAAATCTTAGAAAACAAATTATGTCGGATATATAACCTTATCCGATAATCCGAAACTAACCCAAGTATGAGCAACATGGATCACAAGTCCCAAGACAATGATCATAATGCATTTTATACATATATTGAATCATTGATTGGATTTCGATTCCTGATTCAAAAGTAAGCGCTACTGTTATAAATTAGGAGACAGAATCCAACACGGATCCTTCTTTGACTAATGATCATCGGCAAAAAGGTTAAAGCAATTAAAAAGAAGGCTAAAACAAGATCAGGAACTGTTCGCAACTCCCAAGTTCTTTTGCTAGACTATATCATATGGAAATTCAAACAATAAAACATGCTACCAAAAAAAAAGTAAATGAAATAGTCCAGCTTCACAATGAACTCCCAGATTCAATATATATATATATATATATAATACACACTAATGTTTAAACAAATCAACATTAAACTAAAGAACCCAGGTTCAAAATCAACAAAAAAAGGGATAAAAAAAGTACCTTTGGGAACATGAACATTGCGTTTCAAGTAGTAAATATAGAAGCACCAAAGGAAACCAGAGATGAAATAAAGCAAATTCCCGGCAATGTAGTTTCGCAGCCAAGTTTGGAAGATATGGGGGAGCGGATCCCAAAGCTTTGTAGGCAAAAGGCTTCCCAACACAAGGATGTTGTACCAAGCGGTCTCATCCACGAATTCCTTCAAATACTCTCCCATTGATATGTCAGCGCAACAATCAGTCACCCAGGCAACAGATTTAAGTCTTGAAAAAAGACGAGTTTGGTTTTTTCTTTATGTTTTAGACATAAATAACAATAAAAATTGATGCTTTCTATGAGATTTCTATGGGCTTTATATTAGGCAATGGAATAATGAGCCTACAAGGCTACGAGGAGACTTTGGTCTTTATACGTAAAATGAAATATAAAATATTATCTTATAAATTATAATCATATTAAAATCTCTAAATTTTAATAAATGAATTTTAATATTATTATCGGTTAAACAAAATTTTAAATTTAGAAAATAAAAGAACTAAATTCCTAAAGTAGAAATATAACCAAAAATATTTTTATTATTTTTCAGTATTTGGTTGGTATAAAATAAATTAATCAATGTAATTTAATTTTTAAGATGATGTAAAATGACTAACATTTTATGGAAACTGTATTACAATATAAATTTTAGTTAATTTTTACAATTTTTCACTGCCAAACAATGTAAAATGGACAACACAATGTTACTCAAACATCGTAAAATGATTTTCAAAAGTTTTTTCTTATTTGTATGGGGTGATTACAGTGTATTGTATGTTCAAAAGATTTTTAACAATTTGAAAATAAACATTCAGACACCTTTATAAATATCGTGCTCAAACCCAAGACTTCTAAAAAATATCATCTATTTAACCACTAAAATCGTGTGATTCGTAAAATTTTCGAAAACTATTTTCTAAAAAATGTATAATTTATTTTTATAAACTTGTTTTTAGTGAAGCAAACATACCTAAAATTTAAATATACTAAAAATACAAGGACTTAAAACATTCTTTTTAACCTACCCTTAAGTCGTTTTATATAACATAACTTGGAAATTTAAACCCATTAAATGGTTTTAGTGATTTTTTTTCTCTTTCGATAACTTAGATTAAAACAACGATATTTGTAAGAGGTAGAGCGAGATCCAAAAATTTAAGATGTTAAAAATTGTAAACTACACCATTAGTCATCAATCTATTATTTATTTTCTATTTTAGTTATTGAATTATTTTTAAAAAAAATTACCGCTAATATTATATTTTTTATTTTAATCATTGATCATTAAAAAAATTAACAAACACGTTAATATGATTTTTTTAAAAAAGAATTTTTTCCATATCATTTTCTCTATCCTCATCATCAATATCTTGCAGGCCATTTTTTAAAGTTCGAATCCCTTCCTCTCTAATTACATAGTTTTTTTTTTCAAATAAAGTTTCTTTTAAAATAAAACAAATTATTGATTGTGAGAATAAATAAAAAATATCTAAGAATAATAATTTAATAAGTCAAGACGAAGACTTGAGAATCAGAATATAAACCAAAAGAAAAAAATGATAAATTAATATGGAGTTTACCTTTAAAAACATCCCTTTTGAAGATCGGTTGTAATATTTTATTATTCGTATATTTTTAATTAATTTGAAGTAAATATAATATAATATTTATTCAAAGATAACTTTGAATCATTTGATATTAAATGTTTACGATCCAGACATTCAGAATGCTCGAACCCTAAACCCCATAAATAATAATAATTCTTTTTATCACCGAAATATCATTCATACCATTTTTAAAATATATTAATGATTCATACTTTTGGATTTTGTTATGAATAAAATCAATCACAAAACAAATTGGAAGGATCGAGACATTATTTTTAATTCTATTTAAATTTGATTATAAAATTTATTATAAAAATATATTTAATATTTCAGTGGATTATTTCAAGTAGACATAGACAAACTATGAATGTTAATATTTAGTTTAAAAAGCGTTAATTCTTTGAAATTAGTGTTTAATATTTTTTTCAGAAATTAATAGTAATTTACTTTTTAATATATATATATATATATTAAAAAATGAAAATATCTCATGCAATTAATATTGATTCCTTTCTTAAACAAAACATTTTTTTAGTGAATGGTTTTTGAGGCAGTCATGTTTTTTTTTATAAAAAAAATTAATGCGGTTCTTGGATTTTTTTAACTATAATTAGGAAACATTCTAAGTTATTCGTATCGATATACATATCTAATCATATTTTAAACATTTCTAAGAGTTATTCGTAAATCTTTATACATCACATAATAAACTAGTATATAAAACGACATTTAAAAATAGTTTGAAATATAACTAGATTTATGTATTGATACAAATAACTTGTGGTGTTTTCTAATAATGTTTAGATGCAAAATTCGTAAGTCTCAACTAATCCAATAAAAATATTTGCATATGTATTGATGATATGAGTGTATGGTAATGAAATAATATTTAGTATGCGTATATATGTAATATAAAAGTATATGATATCTTTAGTGAATATATGTAATATAAGAGTATATGATATCTTTAGTGACAGTTGATATGTATATAAATTTAAAATCATATTGGCTTTGATAATTCAATTATATAAATATAATTAATAACTTTGATTTAATGTCACAATATTATTATCCTTTTTCTAAAAGACATATATAAACAAGGTTTTGTGCCGATGGTGTTGCGTAAGTCTGAAAAATATGTAATGCCGTAGCTTGTGAACCTCAATTGTTTATAGTTTGTAGCAAGTTTAATATTCCTTGACGTTAATCTATATTTTATCCTCATAATTTGGTCTCGGCTAAGTTGTTGCCAATCTTGATTTTAAATGTCTAATCTGTACTTAAACTTAAGGGTAAAATATGCAAATGATCCTCGGATTATATGATATATTTTATTGACTCCTTCAACTATTGAAAGTTCCAAATTGATCCCTTGACTATAGCGAGTTACTTTGTTTAGTTCCTCGACCATTAAAAATTACAAAATGATCACCTAACTATTCATTATGTTCCAAACTCGTCTTTTTCTGTTAAAAAATTGACGACAGTCTGAGCTAGACGTTAACTTGCTGATTGAGATATGATAAAATCATATCTCATTATCTCAAACAATTATCATATCTCAATCAGCATGTTAACGTTAAGCTCAGACGACCATTAATTTTTTAAAGAAAAATGACAAGTTTGGAATATAATGAATAATTAAGTAACTGTTTTGTATCTTGTAATAGTCGAATGACTCAACAAATCAACTCTCTATAACCGTAGAACCATTTTATAATTTTTAATAGTCGAAGACTCAATAAAACAATATAACGAGGAAATTGAGTTGAAAACATAAGATGGTATATGTTAGATGACTTCATTAATTTACAAACTAATGTTCTTCCACCAGAGTTTATAGTGCATCTTCTGAATTATTTCCTATTACCTGAGCTACCCTTTAGTGTATAAATATCAATTCAGTTTTGCTGATGGAATTTGAACCTTTTCTACGGTAGAAATTTCCTAAACTCCCAACAACAAAACTCATGTTCATCTGCCTCTTCCTTCATTTGCAGAAAACTCACGATTACATCGATCTTATCTGTACCTGTAAGAAAAAAGAAAGAAAGAAAGAAAGGGAAATTAGGTTCCATTTGTGTTCTCTTTTCAATACGGATATGATCAGGGTGGGACAAAAAAGATTTTATGTTAAAAGATAAATTTATAAAATTTTAAGGAAAATATAGATTATAAATAAAATGTAAAATAAAATATTTAAAATATATAATAATATAGAATTTTTAGGAGAGACTTTCACCGACCGTCCCTCGGTCTATCCTTAATATGATGTAATATCCACCAGTTTAGGGGTTAGTGATGGTAGAGAAGCTAACCCATTTATCCGTAGCATGATCAGGAGAAAGTGGAGGAGGAATGCTATTCAACACTCCAACATCATCCGATCTACTATCCAACACTTCACCTTCTGATCTCCCATCCTTAATCTCTTTCAATGTCTCCAGCACTTCTTCCATTGAAGGTCTCATCTCTCTCTCCTGTTGCAAACACTGGAATGCCAGTTCCGTGAACGCCGTTACCGTGTTTTTCACCGTGCAATTGTTCTCGAATCCGAGAGATGGATCAACCAGTTCATGCAATGCCTGATTCTGGATTCTGTTGATTGCCATACCAGCCAAATTTATGTCATGTCGATGCCTGCTGATGTCCACTGCTTGTTTCGCCGAAACTAGCTCGATCAGGACAACTCCGAAGCTATAAACGTCGCTCTTCTCAGTAAGCTGGTAGCATCGGTGATACTCCGGGTCGACGTAACCCGGGGTGCCTTGCGGAGCAGTCGAGATGTGCGTAACATCATTAGGAAACAATCGTGACAATCCGAAATCAGCCACTTTTACATGGAAATTATTGTCCAAGAGAATGTTATTCGATTTAACATCGCGGTGTATGATCTCCGATGCGTGGAGGTAAGCCAATGCCTTTGCCGTTTGGACGGCAATGCTTAAACGAACATGCCAAGTAAGCGAACTGGAGTTCGATCTCTTTCCGTGCAAATGATCAGCCAAGGTTCCATTCGGAATGTACTCATAAACAAGGAGAAGCTCTCGACTACGTCTCGAGGTACATCCATAGAGTGTCACGAGATTCGGATGACGAATGCGAGTGAGGATTTCGATTTCGTTCATGTACCGATCTACACGCTTGAAATTGTTACTGTATAAGCGCTTAACTGCTACTATACGTCCATCCCTGAGTACACCTAATCAAGCAAATCAAATATAAAATGGTGTTTTAAGGTTAAATGAAATAAAAGACGTCACCGATTCGAATACATATAAATAAAATCGGGTTAAGATCGAGACGAGTAAAAAATTCAATCTCGAAGAAAATTAAGATTCTTACCATGATAAACAGTGCCAAAGCCACCTTCTCCAAGTTGCTTAGAAGAACTGAAATTATTAGAGGCTTCCTGAAGTTCTTCATAGCTAAAAACATGGGCACCAAAGTAAGTGCTTCCTCTTTCAATGTCACATTTTGAAGTGGAATATGAAGAATTGGTTTGAGATGTGGAAGTTGATGGAGCTGTTAGAATGTCTCTGCTCGTAACCCGGGCTACGATTTTCTTTTTCCGTCGTCGTCGGAAATGTACAATTCCGATTCCGATAAGTATACAGGCAATAGCTGCACCGGCTATTACTAGTCCAAGCTTTACACGGTAGTTATTGCCTCCTGCAATAGTAAAAATTGTTAGCTAAAATTCACTAGAACTAGTTCTGTCATCTGTGCAAAAGCAAAAATAAAAACAGCAAATCGATCCGAATTTGCATTCAATTATTATTGGAAACGCGTGGCACAAATATCGGCACTGTAATCGGTTCTAGCAACACCAAGAGTTTACGAAGAGTTGTTTGTTTCAAGAACTTTGTATGGTGCAGACTTGATGGTGACTTCTGGCACATTTTCATTGCAGTTGAGCCGGAATCCAGGGTATCCGCAACTTTCAGGCCGATCCCATTCCCAGAAAGGATAACGGATATCTGAAATGTTTCCACAGCTGGATCGGACACTGTAGCTCAAGAAACTCTTGGCAAACACATATTTCATACAGAAATTCAAGAACAAGCTTATTCATTTTAAACAGATCAAGCGTTGCACGAATTTGCAATGGAGTATACTAACCAAAATCTATGACACGTGATACCAGATCAATGTTAGTAATCATAATACATGCTTACTTGCTAATCAGACCACAACCATGTCTGTCTATTTGTCCTACCAGGGATGTACATAATAAAAATGTAATTATATAATAAATATAATGTTTATTTAAAAGAATTAATATCTATTTTTTTTTCATTTAGATGTTTGGCTTTTTTAATTAAAGTAAATGCATAATATTTGTAACACCCCAATTTAGGGGTTAAAATTAAGAAATTATAAAGTGGCGGATTTAATTGATATTTTGAAAGAAACATTGGGGATTAAATTGTAAAGGATTAAATTGTAAAGTTTTAAAGTTGGCAGACCGTTTTATAAAGTGCAGGAAATTCAGTGGCTAAACCCATGATTTAACCATTTCTTATATATGATGAATTATAAGCTCCTCCCCGTGCGCAGGTTTCATATTTTCTAGATTTCCCTTCTCCAACAATCCAACTTCCAACTCCGATCTACTCGCCGTCCGACCTCCAAACGACGAGCCGAAACCACCATCGTGTTCGTTGTCAATCGAGGAACAAAACCCCTCAAACCTTTCGTCGTGAATCATCGCCGTTCGTCGTGAATTTCAGTCGGAAGTATCGTCGGTAATAACTCGGGTTTTAGTTGGTTTTTCATAGATTCACGACGATCGGGCCATCTGTTTACGACACCTCCCGCACCATCGTGTTCGTTGCATCGTTCCGAGTTTGCCGGTGTCATCCTTGGTCTCCGTCGACGGCGGCGCGTGAGGAGGTGAAGCGGTCAAAGTTTCCGATTTGTTGAAATCGAGCTCTCCGCCGTTCAAAATTGTGAACCGAGCTTTGTAAGTATCTCGAAATCGCTCAAAATAATTTTTAGAAATTTTTCCGGGATTTTAGCACTGTTCACGCGCCGCCACTTCGCGTGGGGAAGCCGTTTGACCGGTTTTGGTGCATAGTTGACCGGTTTGACGGGTCACGACCCGACCCGTTTACCCGACCCGACCCGACCCGTTTACCCGACCCGTTTACCCGACCCGACCAGTTGACTCGACCCGTTGACCGTCGTTGACCACTATTGACCAAAACTTTGACTGGCTTTGACCGGGCATTAAACGACCTTTGACTTCGACCGAGTATACCTATCCTGACATTTTTCGACGTTCCAAATCCGATTCCGCTGTTCGTTTTTCGAAATTAGAACCCGAAGGCCTCGATATATCCGGTCAAACCCGTTGACTTTGATTTTGACTGAAATTTCCAAATTTCCGAAAAGTTACATTTTATGCTTTCAACGTCCTGAATCCGAATCCGAAGTCCGTTTCGCCAAATTCGAACCCGGTAAGCCGTCTTTCACTGATTTATCACCCGATTTGATCCGTTTATCGCAATTAAGCTCCGTTTTTTTATATAATTTATGTTGATATGTATCTGAGGAATTATTTGAAGTTGAATTGAAGATCAAAGGCATTCGAATGGAATTTTTATGGTCGATCGGTATTGCACGGAAATCGAGGTAATACTTTACTACCTCTTTATGCTTTATGGAACATGTTGATATTGGTAAATGCATGAATAAGATAATGTTGGTCACTTTTGTGGAGTTGAATAATTTATTCACTCGATATGAATGTGGTAGAAATTCTGTAACTGAATACGGATCGAATGACTAAGATAAGAGATGGATAATTGTTAGAATTAAATTACAAGTTTGTGATTGGTGATAAAGAAATCAGCTCTGGAATTGTAACTTATATTTTATATCATCAAGGGTTAAATGTTAAAGATACTTGGATGAAAAATTATGAGAATACTCTGATATGGTAAAATTACGAAATTACCCTTATGTTGGAAAATGATAAGAATTGCCCCTGGAAGTTGGTTAATAACTCTGAAAAGACATATTGATCCGATATAACTACTGACGTGCATAAGAAATGTTAGTTTTATTTGGAAATTATGGATAACCGGTTTTAATCCTAAGAGAGTTTGTGAAGGAATCATTTCAAAATCAAAAAATGTTCGGGAAAACAATTGATCATAGGATCTCTAAATTATAATTATTTTCGTTAAGTGCTAATATTGAAATTATTTGGTTAAGAAATTACGAAAATGCCCTTGAGAGATAAAATAGTCTGAATTGACCCTGAATGAGAGAGTACTTTGAGGATTTGTACTTAACTCGATTAAGTACGAATTTAATTGTTAAGATCATGTCTTTGTACAGAAAAATTTATAATATTTCGTTTGTAAAATCTGAGAAGACACTTGACCCGAAAATATTCGAATAAGGAGTAAATACTTGAAGAGTAATTTATTGGAGGTATTCTGCTGACAGAATTGTTCGAAAGGACTGAAGTAAATGATAAGATTGAATTAAATAATAAGACCGGATGAAAGGAAATGATTGAAATATTCTAGAATTATAAAATGACCAAATTACCCCTGGAATGGAAATAACTCAAGAATGTCACCAAGCTCAGGAATGAATGGATATACTCAAGCTTTGAAATGAATAGAAAAAAATGTTAAGCACCAAAATGACCAAAATGCCCTTATGACCTAGAATAAGTAAATGTCTTGGATTAATTAAGAAATCCAAATAAACATGGATTTGTGCTACCAGTAAAGTTGTGAAACGCAACTTAAGTGATTAACCAATGTTAGTACTATATCATTACGTGAATGATATAAGTATCACTTGAATGTTTGTTCATCTGCTCAAATTTGGATCGATGATAATTCTGGAAGTACTTGGCGCAGCTCAACTCTAGAGCGCATACAGTACTAATAAGTGGGTAGTCGTTAGTCAATCAACCACGAATACCAGAATGACTTTATTATATGAATAAATTGAAATGAAATGTAGTACAACGTGTATTTGAAATTCAGAAACGTCTGAATTATTCTGGAAAACTTTAAAGTAATCGGGATAGACTTGCTTACCAACGAACTAAGTAACATCAATGATTAAGGATTAAATAGGTGATTTGATGAGTTTGGAAACACTGTTGAACTTACATGATGAATTGTCATTATGGGTTATGAGCCATTGATCAAGTACGTCAGTATTTCCTGATATTGTTGAAACGTGGAAATGAAATAAAGACCGTTGGAAGATTTATTCAGTGATGATTATGGGGATGATCTATGGATCTGCACTATGGTATTAAAGAGTGAATACACTGGAAGGATAATGAATTGACTTGTTGACATGCATCAGTTTGAGAGTTGTGTAACTCGAGTTGTTTGATAATATGATCGATAGTCGTAGATTGTAAATGACTTGAATCTTCGATTCTATATTTCATCTAAAATCACTTCGGTCATGTTTGAAAAAAAAAACAAGTAACGCAGATGGAAAAGATTCTGAATATCTCATTTGGTTCAATTGGGCTGAAATCCTATGAATTTTAAAGTATATTCCTGAATACCCCTGATTGTTTGGGTAATGGAATCACTCGCAGTAAATCTGAATTTAGAATTATTATGTATAAAGGTTCCTGAACGTTTTCCTAAAGCACACGAAAATATAGTGGGATTCTAATGTATCAACATTAAATGTCTGGCTAGATCGGTTAGTAATCGATTCTCCTCAATAGGACCTTGTTCCAGGAATTCGATCAAATTTCATAAGTTTCATGTTATCCAAAATGATAACTACAATGGCCTCTGGAAATACTGGGATTCTCTAGTGTGTTCCCTATTTATTACTGAACTGTTTTATTGGTTTTAATATGTGGTACACCGAATTCATTGGTTATTGTTTTATTGATGCACCAATTTAATGTGACAATTTATGGAATATGGCTGCTATCTAATTTTTGTTTTGAAATGGTATATGATTACCATGTTTTTGGATTTATGGAATTTGTGTCACGGTGCAATTGAATTTTGGAATTGAATTACGATGGAATAGCTCTGATCAAGCTAACTGGGCCTAATGTGACTCTTGAGGGCCCCAAGATGTTTCATTAGGTCGGCTTTCCTTTGCTGTGTGCTTAGGGTAAGCTATATGGACTTATTGACTTGGGCTTAAGGATACAAGCTTCATAGCCTATCCTTAAGTCGGCTTTCTTTTTGCTATGTGCATAAAGTAAGCTATATGGAAAATAATTTTTGGGAACTATTGATGGTGTACCAGAAAAGGGTTTAAACTATGATTTTCAAAAGTTAAACTCTTTTACGAAATTGTGAGATTTACTGGACTATGATTTGTACCTATTATGATTTTATTATACTGTTGGAACACACTAGACATCCTATTCGATCTCCTGAAAATGTCATACTTTGAAAGGTTTCTTATGAACTGAGATTCATGGCTTCTACTCGATGAACTTCTAAGGGAACCCCAAATTATTCTGCAAGCTGGTATACATATGATTCAATAAGGAAATTATATGGCTTTCCATTTATCTACATGTCATGTAGCATCATCTGGTAGTTCTGTATTACTGAGCTTTCCAAAGCTCACTCTATTACTCACCTTTTCAGGTTAAAACAATTGTACCAGTGCATTTATCGACTTCAGTAAGGGAGTTCTTCCGGCGT